ATCTATTGTGTGAGCGAGACCAGTGTATTCTTTAGAACTTCACCAAAATAAGCAAGGAGGTGACAGTTTACAGAAGTGCCTTTCTTCCTTTCAGCTCTGCTCTGGGTTTACGTTCTCAGGGTGGATTGAGTGGATTTGCAAACAAATCCTGGGCCTACAGCGGGTAAACAAAGTCAGCCCCACCGACCCCTGCCCGTGGGGGGAGCAGCTCCTAGTGGACTGAACTCTGGCACCGGGTCACAGCCTGGGGTGCGTGCATGTTGCCATCCGGTCATTGTAGCTGAGACCCCTGCCTGAGACCTGTCACTCAGCCACCACTCTTTCCCTGCCAAAGCCAGGTGGCTTCCCTGCTCGCTTGGCCTTTCCCTCCCATCTTTATCTTTGCCTCCCTGGAGGGCTGTGAAAGCTGTTGAGTGGGTGGGCATGAGCATTTAAACATTGTTTTCTTAAAGGATTACAATTTCCAGTTGTCAGGTTATAAAATACAGGTGCAGTGTACGTCCTACGATGGCCAACAAATATCGAGCTGGTGGGATAGAATTTTCTCGTGGTTACCATTTTGTAGCGCTGATGACTGCAAACCAGCAAGGGAGAAATATCTGAAAACAGACATCTCTTGTCACTTCTATGTACCCAAATATTTAAAAGAATGTACATAATTTCAGAATGAAATCATGCCGTGTACAATTGTCAAAGGAAAGTCTGTGGACAAAAATTTAAATATGTGCTTACATTTTAGCAAATATAATTGCAGCTCTTAACTCTCTGATGGGATAAGATAGTAAATCAAAAGTAGACCCTGGCATTCATATTCACGACTGGTAAGTTTATGTATATGGAATCAACACTAATTTTAGTACTCACTGCTGACCCTCTCAAGATGTATAAATATAAGGAAGGAAAATTTAATACCATACATATAAAAATCAGGCACAAGCCAGGCATGGTAATACATACCTGTAATCCCAGCACTCAGGAGGCTGAGGCAGGAGGATGGCTGTGAGTTCAAGGCCAGCCTGAACTGAATGGAGTGACCCTGTCTCAAAAAACCAAAATAGAAAAAGCATGCACAACATTAAATTTTTAACAAGGGCTCTGCTTAATACAACTAGAGACCTGTTTAAAACTAATGTGACTAAGAACTACATCACTTTAGAAGATGTAAATCAAGGATCACAAGAAAGGTGAAGAAAGAACTTACCTTGCATTTTAAAATTCACTTAAAAGTCCATTACTCTAATAATTCCATATTTTCTTACTGGAATCCTATTGTACTCAAAGACAGAATTCATTATAATCTTAGAAGAAAGCATCAATAGTTTTGCCCATTCATTTTAACCTCTAGACTCATATTTATGAAATGATCTGAGGATGTGAGTGCTATGGTTTGTGTCTGGATGTCTCCCCAAAGCCTCATGCAGTCATGGGGCGGGCTTCTAGAGTTATGACTGATTCATGAGTGTGAGGGCTACACCCATGCTGGGGCAGATAGTTTGCATATGGAAGGCAGGGAAAGAGGCTGCTTGCTGCCGCTCCTCCCTTTTGCTCTGGCTGCTTTTGCTGTCTTCCCCACCATGAACTGTAGCCCTCTGCCAGTGCCACTCTGCTTGGAGCCAGATGAATATGGACTGAAACCTCCACAAACTGTGAGCTAAATAAACCTTTCCTTCCTTAATTCTGGATGTCAAGTATTTTGTCTCAGCAATGAGAGAAATGTAACCAAAACAGAATTTGGTACCAGAGAAGTGGGGTCTTGCTGTGACTGTACCTGACCATGTGGTTCAAGAGCCTTTGGAAATGGCTGGTGGGAAGTGTTTGGAAAGGTTCGAAGATGACGCTTGAAAGAGTAGAGCTGGAATGCCTTTGGCTGTTCTGTGTGGAAGATACTGGTCAGAGCTCAGAAGACCAGAAGACTGACAGAAATCCTGCCCACAAATACCAGGTGCAGGAGGTTTCTGCTGGGAAGAAGGATTGCATTGGGTGCTGGACTCCAGACGATGTATGTTATGGTTTTTTTGTTTGTTTGTTTGTTTTTTCTGGTACTGGGAATGGAACTCACGACCTTGTGCTTGCCAGGCAGGCACTGTGCCGCTGAGCTAAATCCTCATCCTCTAGATGACGTATGTTATGGTTTGGCAGAAAGTTTGTCTGCATTTTGCTTGTGTCCAGATGCTTTGCCTGAGACTGAGATTAAGGGCAGTGAACTGATTAATCTGGCAGAAGAAATTTCAAGAGAGTCGAATTGGGGCAGTGGCATGGCTATTGTTGGGGGCTTTTAGCCAGATTTATGCCGAAAATCAAGAACAAAGAGCCCAGCAGGATGACTTAAAATGTTGTGACCTTGGCCAGAAGGAAGCTCCAGTAAAGCTGTGGACTGCAAAGATAGAGGTGAGGAGATCTCCACTGTTGAGGAGGAACAGGAGAATACAAAAGATGGCCTGAGGGCACCACAAGAAGCAGCAAGATTCCACCCTTTGCAGCCTCAAAACTGCAAAGATGAAAGACTTTGCTTTGAGAAGAAAGCTGCAGAGTGCCATGTTCCAGAATGGTGGCAGCATAGAGAATTTCTTTCTCAGAATCAGGTTCAGAGTGCCCAGCAATCCAGGCACTCAACTCCTATGACCAAGAGAGAGGAAAGCTTGGCTACTGCTCCAGGTGGCAGCAGGCCTTGTCATCACCCACGTGGCGCTGGCTTTAGGTGCATGCAGAATGCAAGAGCTCTGAGGTTAAGAAGGCTTCCACCTAGATTTTAGAAGGCCTGGGAGGCCAGGCAGTGTGCCCCTGAGAGGGCAGTGTGTGAGGCTGTGAGTGTGAAGTGAAAGGAACACTGGAGACCTCAGAAGTTTAGAGAAGCCAGGACCGTGGATCATCTGAGGAAGGCTGCGAGGAGGGAGCAAACCAGGCCTAAGAGAGAAGCCATGGAAGTGTAACCATCAGAAGTGCTGTAAGGGTCAAGTCACTCAAGCCTTTAGGAGTTCATAATGTGCCACAAGTTGCTTCAGATGCTGGATGTGGAATTATATGTTAGCTCTGCTGGATGTTGGACTTGTTTTGGTCCCAATGCTCTGTATTCCCCTGTTTGTACCTTTTGGAATGGTAATGTTTATTTTGTGCCATTAAATGTTGGAAGTGTTTAACTTTTCGTTTGTACAGGGGCTCACAGATAAGAGTTTGCCTTACATCTTGGAGGAGACTTGGGGCTTGGACTCGTCAGCAGTGCTGAAACTGTTAGGAATTTGGCAACTCTTAGAGATGGACTAAAATGTCTTTTACATAACAGGATGTACATGAGTCTTTGGGGGGCCAGGGATGGAATGCTATGGTTTATGTCTGAATGTGTCCCCAAACCCTCATGCAGTCATGGGGCAGGCTCTTAGAGTTTATGATTGATCCATGGGTGTGAGTGCTATATCCGCCCTGGGGCGGATAGTTTGCATATGTAAGGGAGAGAAAGAGGCTGCTTGCTGCCGTTCCTCCGTTTTGCTCTGGCTGCTTTCGCTGCCTTCTGCCTCCATAAACTGTAGCCCTCTGCCATGTGCCACTCTGCCTGAAGCCAGCTGAGCATGGACTGAAACCTTCACAGACTGTGAGCTAAATAAACCTTTCCTGCCTTGATTTTGGGTGACAGGTATTTTGTAGCAGCAATGAGAGAAAAGGAACCAAGACAATGAGCATTAGAAATAACCTACATCAAGATAAGCCTGTCTTCACATCTATAAACATTTGAAATCACCCACCAGCTAGCTGGAATGCAGCTTGAACAATGATACCCAGTCGCAAAAGAGCAGGGTCTGAACCATAAATTTCTGAGCAGTCGCACGCATGCTCATTACTACAGGGCTGCTGCACAGAATGTACTGTGTGGTTTTCAAAAACAAAATGCAGTTTCTCTTCTCTGCTAGTTATTGAACCTGTCAGTTCTCCATCAGATATTTAGTAACTCGCGGTCACAGTGGCCTGGTGGTGAAGCCTCCCTTGATGGTACCTGTTGACTTTCACAGCCGTCTCCTTCCCTGTCCCTGGTCTTCATCCACACCGAATCTGCCCTGGTCCTCCCAATGTGTTCGGGCCTCCCCCACCCCAGTCCTTTTACTGTCCAGCACCTGGCTGACTTCCAGAGCGAGTCACTGCACATGTCCTGTGACCCCACGCTGCCAGCCTGGACGCAGTGTTAGCCCAGCGCTCGAGGGCTGCTGTCCTCACTCACTGTCCCCTCCGGAAATGTCAGAAGAGAGTCGCTCCTCGGCTCACTGCAGAGGTTTCTAAAGTCTCTACCAGTTTTACCTTTTAATGGTGGTTTGATGAGCGCCCGACCGTGTTTCCGGAGCCTGTGGACCAGGCATCTCTGACCTGTCTGAGTGGCTGTGGGTGAAGGTAATGAGGAGACCCAGGAAGAGATTAAACTGAAGACAACCAGCCAAGAGCTACAGCACATTTTGTTACCACAACCAGCAAGCCTGCCTGTGCCCGGGACAGAGTGCTGCTGCGGGGAGAGCCTTTTGTTGGTTCTGATTGTACATGTGTCGGGGGGCGGTAAGCCGTCGGTACCCACGAGTCAGGCCGCACACATTTCTACACTGAGGTGCACAGTGGTCTGGAGTCCCTTATAGAGCAGTGAGTCCGCCCAGCTCATAAGGTCCGATATTTTGTCCATTGAGTGCACATTTTTAGTTCATGTATGAAACAGTTCACTAAACATTAATGCTTTTACACGTTCGTCGTTCTTTCACCTCGTTGTTTGTTGTAAGAAGTACTCACCTGACGTGAACTCTGCTGCGACCTCAGGCTCTGGCCCTCCTTTGGTTCGGTGTCAGTTTAGTGGCAGGCCGCACGGGCCTCGGGGAGGAAGGAGGCAAGCTGCGGAGGCAGGAGGAGGGCCGCGGAGGCGCGGGTCCCGGCTCTGCCTCCCCGTGGACAGTGCGGCCTGCTGCGGTCCCCGCAGTTTCACGGGGACAGCACCTCCGTGGCGGACCGCGTCTTCTTGGTGTTCTCCCTTTCAGAACGACGGCGGGGGGCAGCGCAGCCTCATCAACAAGTGGACCACCTTCCTGAAGGCCAGGCTGACCTGCTCGATTCCGGGGCGCGACGGGGCGGACACCCACTTCGATGAGCTGCGTAAGTCGCCGCCCCTCCCCTTCCCGGGGGCCCACGGAGTCCCCGCGTGCTGTCACCCCGCGCGGCCGTGTACCTCCGGAGCTGGCGGGCGCGGCCCGCACCGAACTGGCACGCAGACGCGGTGGGCAGTGGCTCCGGCGTCAGGGGCCCAGCTTAGCCGGGGGAGTGGGCGTCCGCGATGGGCAGGAGGCAAGGGTCGGGACTCAGCGCCCAGCACCCTGTGCAGGCTCGCGGGGGCTTGCCGGGAACTCGGTGCCTCCCTCGACCGCTCCGTCCCCGAGGCCTGCGAAGGCAGAGCTGCCCGCCCCCGCCCCGTCCCTGTTTGCTGCTCCTCTAGCTAATTGGAGAAGGAATACGTCTAGCTGCATATAAAGGTATCGCCAGGAGCTTTCATCTGCCCAAACTTGCGCACCCACCCCTTAAGTGATTTTGTAAGGAACATGATTTGCACATAATTCACTGTCGACACTGCGTAGGTACACTATAGCCACATCGGTGTAGATCTGGAAGAAGTACTTGAAATGCTAAGTGACACAATTGCAGAGCAGCGTGGCTTTATGCCGCAGAAGGGTAAAATTCTCTTTGGTTTCTGTTTTGTGTGGAATCACAGACTCTTAAAAGTATGCAGTTGTGGAGAATGTGCATTGGATTAGCTCATTTATAAGTGATTGAATTAAACCAAGGAGAGGTTAAGGGTCCAACTCAGGGTCACACAGGGAGAAGACTGACCCTTACCTCCTAAGGCACAGTGTAGCAGCTCTGTACACTTAATTATATGTATAAAACATTTAAAGCTTCAGTTATATTGTGCTATATTAAGAAGAAAACTAAAATACAGTGAAATAAAATACATTTTTTTTCCATTAATAGAAGACATTTATTTACTCCCTACAAGAGATGAAAGAAACCCGGTAGTGTACGGAGTCTTCACTACATCCAGGTATGTTTAACAAAATACTTGCAGTATTTTAAAGTCTGTTTTGAGGGTTTTCTTTTTTTCTCAGTACTGGGGATTCAAGCCTGGCCTCTCGCATGCTAGGCAAATGCTCTACCACTGAGCTGCACCTCAAGCACACCTAGAGAACCTTTATATACACAAAGCCAATATACTGGTATCTTTTTCTCTTTTTCTTTGCAGTAATCACACACTTTTTCATTGTACTGGTCCACTCAGTGGTTCTTACAGATCTCCTAACGTCCACATGAAAACTCCCATTTCTCCAGCCCGTTCTGGCAGCCTCAGAGGTGACTCCCACAGTTCGTGCACCTGGCCTCCAGCACTTCGTGGTTGTTTCCAGCTGTATACTGCATAAAACGTAACGCCATTGCGTGTGCCCAAGAGCATCTCTGAGATACATTCCAGCTGCAAGAGCCACACACAGTCCCTGTACACTGCTCACAATAAATTCGCCCAGGCTTATGGGCGTGGAGGTGGCCTGCGGACACGATGGGCAGGGTTGGGTTCATGAGGTGGGATGCTGTTGGCTTTTCAGATCACATCGGAGAGGGCAGTGTGGCTGTTATGACCCTAGGGGTCTCTGCCTCACCACTTCAGAGGAAGATGGTGTGCACTGCCTGCTCCACAGAGGCAGCCAGTCATGAGAGCAACAGGATTAGCACTGGAGTCTCCTCCTGTCCTTTGCTCTGTCCTTGTCTTCTCTCTGCACAATACCATCTTGTGCACAGTAGTGAGACTCTGTGACATCCTTAGAGGTTTTACTAACATCTTTGAAGCACTGTCAAGAAAGTGCAGTCCCAGCTGTCTTCATTTTACTTCATCCAGCGGCTCGCAGCGAGCGGAGCGCGTCTCCCCTCCTGGCACACACTACTGCATTCCACGCATGTTCTTGGAGACGCATTCCCCGCGTGTTCTTGGAGACCTGTTCCACCGCAGTCTCCCTGATCTGCCCTCAATCTTCACCAACATCTGCTGATGTTAGTGTTGGAGAGATGGGAGCGACGGCATGAATGTAGAAGAGATGGCTTTGCTGTGTCTTTTGGAACAAATTCTTAAACTATTTTGTAGCCAATTATAGTTTAAGTTCTTTTTGTGGCCTGATTCTCATGTAGGTTCAGTACCTTGTGTAAAAACTGAAATTCTCTATAGGTTCAGAATGGGTCAGATAACAAAGAAGTATTTGATTAATTACAGACAGGCGGTGAATATTTTGCTGTGAGAATATGGAAGATGCTCTGAGATACAGCTATGTGGGATCTGCTTTCTGCTCATTTACCCTGGAACAGGAAAGACGTAGAATTGCAAGCCTGGCTCCCGCGGGGTCTGTGCCGGACCCTGCTGGCACCTGTCCACGCCCTTTGAAGTCAGCGTGTGTTCCCCGTGCACAAGAGACAGACGTAGGTGCCAGGGAAATGTAGCCCCAGGACAGGCCTTTCTTCCCATCAAATTTCTGCCCACCCAGAGTGTGAGCTACAAGTGAGTTCTTTGTTCTCGGTGTGCTTTGTTGTTCTATTTTTAAAGATGCCCTGAAGACTGAGGTAACGCTGGCGTGATGTCACGTTGTTGCATGAAAGGATGTGACTCACCTGCAGTGAGGCGGTGCCATTGAGCAGCACACTGGGCACCCTCACAGCACACGGGCAGAGTCGGCGTTCTGGCGGGCACCTCTCTCCCCAGAGCTAGCTCCTCCTGGCTGCCTGCTGGTCATTTACCCTTACCTCCTGCTGCCCCCATCAAAGTCACCCGAGAGTATTAATGATTGCGTCACTCAGGCTAGAGCAGTGTGCTGCTTGTCTGTCCTGTGGAGATGCAAATCTCTGAGATCTAAAGAGTGATCTCACAGTCAGGAGCAGGAACTATTGAAAGTTTTATGTTCTAAGAAAACGTCTTTCATTTTCCGTGAACAAAAGCGAAATGTATCTGATGAGTGCTAACAATTTCCGTCATTACTTTGCCAAAAACTATCGAATTCCTATGGAGTGGTTCTGTAACACTACTTCTGAGACTGAGCATGTATCATGACTTTAGATATCAGAGAAGTTACTGTATTCTGAAGCTCAACTCTGGGAGCAAAATGGAAAAAAAAAAAGAGGTTATTTCAACCCTTTTGAGAGTCAGCTTAATAAAAATACTCTGAATATATTATTTAACAACTGAACTTTGTGTTCACTTATTAAAAAATGACATGTGAGGCAATGATTATTCACCTGTCTAAATAATTACCATAGTAAAAGTGGGTAAGGTAACTTCTTATATTGTAAGTTCTTTATAGGGCGTTATTTTATGATAAACGGGTAAAATTAAAGAATATATGGGTAAATATATACCCCTTCCTCTATGTTCCTCTTTGTCCTCCGGTTTTTGGGATACTTTCCTGTCAGTCTGTCCCCCCAGTGTCTGCATGGACATCTGCCTGGGAGCAGCCCGGCTGCGGAGAGCTGGGTGCCCACCGTGGGTCCCCTTGGCTTCCCTACTGCGGTCACCTCGCCCGTGGGCCAGGCTGCTCGGAGACAGGATCCTGCAGCACACAGACACATTTATTTTCCCACAGTGCCTTCCCCAGAGTTGGGTGACACCTGTACTTCTGCACCGGGGAATAGCTGCACCCTGTGTTTTCTTCCAGCTCCATCTTCAAGGGCTCCGCCGTGTGCGTGTACAGCATGGCCGACATCAGAGCCGTCTTCAACGGGCCCTACGCCCACAAGGAGAGCGCGGACCACCGCTGGGTGCAGTACGAAGGGAGGATCCCCTACCCCCGGCCGGGCACGGTACATGTCCACCTACCCACTTCATAATCTTCCTAGTCCCATATTCAACTGCTAACTCCGTTATAGTAAACAATTGTATTCCCCATAGCAGCATATGCTGTTGATTTTTATTTATTTACAGTGACCTAAGAGCATTTCCAGCCCCACTTGAATTTAACCTTTTACTTTGAATAATAATCTCAAGTGGGAGGGAGACTGTGGATCATGTTGTCATGAGCGGACAGCGCTGTCCACAGAGAGTCACACCCCCCCCCCCCGTGGTCTGTAGGTTCATCAGAATGATTTCTTAGGATCTAACCCATGTTGCTTAAATTCTGCCAAACTTTTTTAAACATATTTAATCTCAGCTGCTGAATACTCGAGATCAGTACGACCAAATTTGGAAATGTCTGAAATAATGTGCACATGTGTAAGCTCTCTCCTCCCTTACATCTTTAGTTATTTTTCAATGATACTTGTTTTTTGTTTGCTTACAGTGCTATTTTTCTGACTCCTCCTCATACGTTTTGTTTGGAGTGCTGGTGTTGAAGTTAGGAGCGTGGTATTCTGATGTGAAAACCTGCTACACAGCTATCACGTGTGCTTCTCCTAAAGAACTTTACTATCTTAAATAACTCAGCATTCATAAAATCATTGAAATTATGTTTCACAGTGTATCAAGTGGCTGCACTTATAAAATTTGAGAATGCAAGAACTGGAATGGCCGATAGAAACTATATAATTCCCTCTTATTTACCCAGGAGGAATCTGATGCCCAGAGTAATTAAGTAATTTCCCCTATATTATTTTTGCCAAAAATAGCAGAAGGAAAAGGGGTGTGGGGAGGGTCTCTGGCTGCTCTCCTCTGCTGTGCTCTGGCGTTCGCAGTACCCCGTCCTCCAGTCACTGGATGCGGCAATGAGCATCTCCCCGCTCTTCACCTAACTGCTGACTTTGGTCTCCACTCCAGCCATTCTGTCTGATATGTACTTTTTCAAAGCACTAAAATTTGCGATTCTTCTAATTTCTATTTCCCCATTTCAGAAATTTTATTAAAATATAGTTGAACATTCCCTATCATTTAGTAAATACTTACGTTAACTCACCACATTCTTAAATCATCACAGTGTATTATTATCCCAATTGTACGTAAAAGGGAAAGAGCAGCAAGAGTGCGCGTACGTCCATGGCCTCATAATTGTAGAGTAATTGAAGCATTAACTTAGACCTACCTCCAGATCAGAAGCTCTGGTGTTGCCTCTTCGTACTGATCAAAATGGTCCAGCAGGATCTTTCATGGATCTGTCCTCTCTGCCGGGAGTGATGAATTCTGAGACCTCACCCTACTCATCACTTCCAGCGGCTGCTCGTGGGAGCACACCTGGGTTTTATAGATGCATGGCTCCATAATTTGCTTTCTATGAAACAGTTGCACATTTTACTGACAGCTATTTTACACTTGTGTGAGAAAGTTTGAATAGATAATTCAGGAAAACTCGTTGGCTTCTACACTCTCCGCATCCTCACTGCTTTTAAGATTGAACTCCAGGTTAGCCTGCAGCAGGCCCTGTCCCAGCGTTCCCTCGCAGTCAGGTTCACAGGCACGGGAGCTGCCTGCTGGGCCTACATTAGTGTCTGGGTTTGGACAGGGTGCTGTAATCCCATCATCCGAAAGTCAAACCTAAGCCCCAAGCTCACGGTGTCACTCTACCAGGAAAAGCCTGGGAAGTTCACAGGATACATTTACAGAATTCCTTCCCTTCAAGTGGTTCTTCTGCCCTCTGGTGTCCAAGTAGGGTATCAGAGCAGTTCCTAGTGTGCCGGCGGGCTTCTCTGAATGGTGGGGAAGGGCCAGGGAGGAACGTATGGGAGGCCCACCTGAGAGAACGTACAGAGTCCCTCGTGCAGGGGCTGGTGCAGGTCAGACCCGACACCCTGGAGTCACTCTGGAACCTCAGACTGGGAGAGATCTGCAGAGGCGTGTTTCAGTGTTGATACGTGGTTTATTAGAAATAACTGGCTGCAGTTTTAGTGAGTAACGTAGTGCTGTTCTGCTCAGACATGAGTTTTTAGGACTTCTGCGTGAATTTGGCCTGATGGTCAGTGCTGCTCAGAAGCGAGGTTTGGCTTTTACACGATTATCAAAAAAGGAGCGAAAAGTGCTCATTCCTGAAGTTCAGATGCTCACGGAGCGTACCTTGTACTACTGCTGGCCCACCTTGCCACGGCTTTATTTCTGCAGTGTCTAGTTTTGTTAAAATAATAATTAATTTTAAAATGTATTTCCTTCTAAAGGGTGACTGCTTGCACTGTTTTGTTTATTTTACTTACTTTTAGTTTCAAGCATTAAAAGACATCACCCCGAGAGACCCTCCAGTTTTTGGCAGGGATTGAAAGGAGGTGGTGGAGGTGCTATTATTGATTTCATAGCTTTATTTTACTATGTGGGCACTGGTGAAGGATAAGCACACTGTAAATCTGATTAATAGCTTAAACACCAGTGTAGCCTGTTCTTTCTTTGTATATAGATTTAAATTTTTAATTTCACTTGTGCACGTTTGCCATTCGTGTAGTTTATAGTCACCTTGGGTGCACATAGACATGGTAAAGTCGGCACGTACAGCATGCGAGTTGCTGTGAGGTTCTTCACATAGAGCTTTGAAAGAGAAGCATGCCTCACGGAACGCTGTGGTGTGGTGCAATCCTCCGAACAGCGGGTACAGAGTCCAGCTCTCACCAGTCTCTGCCCGACCCTCTACCCACAGAGCCGTGCTTGCTTTCAGCTCTTCTAAATCTTTTTTTCCCTTGTATGTATGGACTATGGTTGATTTTCTTTTGTTTAATCTTCTTTTTATGTTGGAGGAAGAGACCACATAAAATATCAAAATCACTAAGCTAACCTTTTTCCCTTTATTGACCTTCTGTGTTAATTTCTGAATATCAAGTGTCCTCTTAGTGGAAAAAGGAGGACATAGATGTAAAAATGACCCATAAAATTTGATCAACAAAACATGATGAGATATATCTTGCAAAACAAGATTAAGAGAAACATTGGAATGTTTTGTAAAACTTGTTACATCTGAAATATCCCCTGGATAAACTTTTCTTCTCTAACTCCATCTTACTAATAATTCAGATCTTTATACAATTGAAAGTTTTTAAAAAGTCATATGTATATGTTAACCATTTTATTTTTAATGTAATTTATAACTTAATTTAATAGTCCACTGCAAAAACTATGTTAGACAATGTTTCAGCTTCCACTTAATGTAAAACATGTTCTGTCCCCCACTAAAACATTTCAAGTCTTCATCTCAACAAGAAGCTCTACCTGCTGTGACTTCTCATCTGTGTTTTCCTCTAGGAAAAAAATCAAAGTAAAGGCCTACCTCTGACTTTATGCCACAGTCTGGTTCTTCCCATCCTCCCTTTTCTGCTCTGAGATGAAACCTCCCAGCTCTGGATGTGAGTGTAGATATAACTAACAGTTCTTACTTCCCTTCAACTGTTGTACTTCCTAACATTGTAAAAGACATTGGAAATCATGAGGCTATTGTGATCTAGGTCCCCTGAAAAGTCCATCTTCACAGTGACAGAATCGTGGCCAGCCCTGATCCTGGCGTACCAGCTTTGTGAGAAAGATCTTTTTACTTGAACATACAGGGACATCATCGAGTCTGACCCGGACTTAGCTCACGATTTCCTGCACAAATACAAACCATGACTGGATCAGAACATACAGAAATAGTGTCTCCCAGTGTTTGATAATGGTCTACACAGCAGATGCTGTGGCTCGTGGGTCTTCCACCAGACTTACGAAGATTATTGAGAAATCCCAACTTTTACCATCGTTTTTATTCAAAACTCTAGGCTTTGAGGTGAAAATGGAACACTTGATTTCAGACTTCTTCAGGCATCCTGTTTTCCCCTAGATTTTAGATTCCATCCCATCTCAGCTTCTTTCCATCAGGAGCTGGTAGCTCTCGAATCTGGTGTTCTTACTAAATTAAAGATCTAAAATAGCCAGAAGACAGATTATAAATTATGCCAGCCTCTTGATGCTAGAATGTTGTTTACAAGTCGGATGATTGATTCCCAACGTGGGTAAAACTGGCCAAAGAAAAATACACACTTCAAAAATACCATGAAGAGTTTCCTCCTGCCTTTCATAGTGCTGGACGGTGACAGTCTGAGCAGAGGGACAGAGGACGGTGCAGAGCTCCCTCACAGCCTCGGCTTCCTCTCTCATTCCCACGCCTGCAGGGTGTGGTTGTCGCTGTGCTATCGTTGTTCGTGGATGCTGTGCTGTGATCACACCTTACTGTGTTTTCTTCTCAGTGAGCCCTTCTAATTAATTTAAAACGTGCAGGAAGTTCTGCAGACTTGCGTTCTATGCCTTGCTGGTCTACTCATGCCTCTTGCCTAGGGAATTCTGCTCTCTATTTTCCTTGACACCAGTTCGGCGCATCACCTTCTGTTTACTGGGTGCCGGCCATTACTTTGCCCGGGGCCTAATTTGCTTAAGAAACCTCTAGTCCTGTCCCGGGAGAGAGCAGCAGGGTCAGGACCTGAGTCTTTGCATCCTGGCTTGGAGCCCGCACAGGCTCTGTGGGAGGGACGCCTGGCCGTTGTTCCCGCACCCAGGTCCGGGCTCTGACTCTTCCCAAAGCTAACACAAATTAACCTTCCCTACCGGCCAGTGTGTGTGCGTGCATGTGTGTGTGTGTGTGTGTGTGTGTGTGTGTATGTGTGTGTGCACATTTGTGTGTGTGCACACATGCGTGTATGGCTCTGTGTGCATGTGTATGTGTGCATTTGTGTGTGTGTGTGAGATAGCCCCAACGTGAGATTTGAAAATTAGGGTCTCCAAATTCCCGATGATTTACTGTATTCAGCAGTGTTTTGCTTTTCCTGGTATAAAAATTCTTGTAAGAGAAAAGGACTCTTAAAAACAGAGCGGGTGATTCATCTCTGTACTTCACCGCTGGGTTTCTAGGAGGTCTCATAGGCTGACTCCCAGGCGAATTATCAGGGTGACAAGGTGTTGCCTTCTGCATTTGCATTTTGCATAATAAATACAAAAGCCTGGCTGCCCCTTCTGTGCCACACTTCTGGTCCCTGGGATTTGTTGAAAAGACGCTGAACCTGCAGAGAGAGCCCGCCGCAGCGGGGAGAAGACTTCTAGCAGCTGTCTGGGGCCTGGCCAAGGGCAGAGCTCTCCTTGGATGAAACCCACCTCTCTTCTCTTATCCATCGCTTCCCGCTCCGGTCCTGAAGGCCTTACACAAACATGTGCCGTGCCAAGCACAACACGGTCACACCTAGCCTCGGCCTCCCTCGGGCCCTGTCAGGCGCCTCCTCTGATCTCTCAGTCTTGGGTGACACCGAGGGCTCAGCAAGACACTGGGATCTGAAAGTTCGGCTGATAGCTCCCTTTCCCTTTCCCTTTCGTTCCCCCTCCCCTCCATTTTAAATTGTCCTGGCATGTGCCGGCCCGGCTGAATCGCCCAAGTTAGTTGTACAGCGTCAGAGGCTGGTGGCCAGTCAGGCTGATGGGTGCACAGCTAGAAGTTAAAAGGGCACCGGCCAGGGCAAAGCGCAAGGCTCCACTCTCCTGCAGTGCATGGCTGCGAGAGGAAGTTTTCCTAGGAGTGTTCGGAGGAGACTGCCTGACCGTGGTACCGCATTTCCCAGTACTTTGTGTTTTTCCTTTATGAAACCTTTCTATAATCTGGCCTAAATGTGTCATGTGGCTTCCCAAGTTACTTTTAGATTGCTGTTCCTCTTTGCTATATGGTATCAAAGCAAAAATCCCACCAGATAGAACACACTAAAGTAACAAAATCAGGCTTGCCCTGCCCTGTCCTTTCCTGGACCTGGAGTGCCGTTTGTCCCAGGGTGCACTGTGGACCTAACTTGCTCTGAGCAAGGGCAGGATGCGCGTCTTCCCCACGTCACGCAGCGTGGGAGGACAAGGAGCTGTCGGGATGTCGTGTGTCCAGAGAGCATTTCGTAAAAGTCAGTAGAAACCAGGTTTTCCTTCTCCTCTTCTTCTTTTTCTTAGATTTTATTACACTTTGTCAGAGACAGACAATACGGAAAACTGTGAGATTTATTTCTCTGCTAAATGTTTGTGTCACCATGCGGTGGAACTTTCTTAGGTTAAACTTTCTAATTATTTAAAATTTTGAGATGAAAATTGTGGCTTGAATGTCACAATTTGTTTTTCTGGAAATTTTGGCCACAACATCGCTACAGATGCAATGACAAAAAAGATTTCTTCTCGAGTTGGAAGGCTCTTTCAAGAATACAGTGCAGGCCCAATCTTGCCCCGCCTTTGATTTTCCTGATAGACCAACCAGGCTGACCGGCAGGCACTAAGAGCTGGAGGCCCGGGCTTCAGCCAGCAGCCTGTAATTGTGGAGAGCTTCGCATTTGTGGAGCTCTTTGTCCATTTCGTGTTCCTGCATAATCCTTTAGGATAGGCTCCCTGCCGGTGTCAGGCTAGCAGGCTCCCCTCAGTGAGGACTGTGTGCAGAAGCAATGACAGACGCACAGATTTGGACCCTGCAGACCACGATGTGAGAAATCAGAAGCAAAGGGCTAATGAGGGTGTTTTGCATCTCCGTGCTGCAGAGCTGGGATGAATAAATAGATGTCAGCAAAGGATCACTTTTTTAGTTCCAGACATGGAAAGTCTTGGGGAAGATAGGTACTCTGGAATGAATTATAGAGAATCAATAACAGTTTTCTTAGTACAGTTTTACTGTCAATGCTAACACGTAATAAGGCATTATGATTTTAATGGTATGCAACTTTGGGTCAGAGTCATAAATTGTAACTAACTCCTGGACATTCAGCTCCCCAGGAAGTGTAGTGTGTTCTTGGAGTATTGACATGAATCAAAGTTGCACCTAGAATACACAGCTTGGTTTGGGGGAGACTAGGTTCCAACTCATGTAAAAAATCAGAGAGGAAAAAAAATATTTTTTCACACAACTTTTCTCTAATGTCACTCATTCTGTTCTACTACATGCACCAATTAATTAAAGTTTCCCATCCCAGAAGAATTTATAGTCCATTTAAGAATTCAGATGTGATGATGGTATTGTACTGTATGAGAGAATTTGCTCACTTAGAATATTCTGTGTTTTTTTGTTATTTCTAATTTATTTATTTATTTTTTAACACATGTTTGCAGTACCAAATGATTAGGTTCATCTTGGGGTGTTAGTGTATCTACATACCACATATTAATTAAGGTAAAGAATCTAATCACAGTATTTGGAAAAAAATTAGGTTGAGGATGTGAAAGAATATATCCTTTCTGGGAAAATATGTCAAACTGTAAAGTGATCTTGTATTTTTGGATAAAAGCACATCGCGTTCGATGTGTGCTAATTTGCACTTTTTTATTTTACCAGCAGGGGGCAGGTCGTGCTAACTGTTTCTGTAGCAGACGTGTCTTCAGGCGGAGCATCCCCAGAGGGTGTGCTCGGATCCTGGGGTGAGGGCTGCTGCCCTCTTCACAGTAGAAGTCTCACACCAGTTTTAATAAAACTAGGTAGTAACAATTTCAAGCTAATGAAGTTCTTTTGGCATTATTTTTGTGGCCTGTTGATTTTCTTTTTAATTTTGAATAATCGTGGTTTCATCTGAACTGGAATCTCACCTTTACCCAGAAGAGATCGAAGGCAATGGCTTCCCATATATTCTCACGTTCATTATTTCAGCTCAACTTTCAAGTGTGCACACTGGAAACAGTAATCCTTGGGAGAGATTAATCTTTATAGGAAAAGACGTGGCAGAGGAAACTTTCAAAAATTCCAACAACTACGTATAATTGAGAGTGTTTGGGAGGGAGGGAACCAGGTATAAGCACCCTGGGGAGCACTGCATTTATCCACGTGTAGCGAGGCCGTGTGGGCTCTCTGTCGGCGTCCTGGCGCTGTCCGCAGCCCGCTCCCGGTGGAAGGGAGGGCAGAGTGAATTCGCAGGTGCCTGACCGTGTCTTCTCCCCGCGCGTTGCTCCGCAGTGCCCCAGCAGGACCTACGACCCGCTGATTAAGTCCACCAGAGACTTCCCGGATGACGTCATCAGCTTCATCCGGAGACACCCCGTGATGTACAAGGCCGTGTACCCGGCCTCGGGGGGCCCAACCTTCAAGCGGATCAACGTGGACTACCGGCTCACCCAGATAGTGGTGGACCACGTGGTGGCTGAGGACGGCCAGTACGACGTCATGTTCCTCGGGACAGGTGAGCCCGGCTGCGCTGCGTGCTCTGTCGCGGAGTGCTCACCAGGTGATAAGGAGACAAAACCTCCACGTGACTTACTGGGCAATCAGCCGATACCTTGTCAATGTTTTTTAAATTGTGCAGTGCATGTTTTTAGTTGATAATCATCATCGTCTCTGAGCCTTTTTGAGACTCAAAACCTATTTGCATCTTACGGCTGCAATGGGCCTAGTTATTAACTAGATGCTCAAGCGCTATTTATCGAACGATTGGGCTAAAGTTGGGCCACCAATGGCTCTTTGTGCTCAGACTTGCACCCTCCCTGTCTCTGCAGCCGGCATTCCTTCACCTGAATTTGGGAATCACTGACTTAGCTGACTGAACAAGCGTTTCTAAAACATTAAGCATTACTTTGCATGACCTTGAAGTACAGAAGCCTTAGAGATTATTTTCCTGTTCTTGAATTTTGTGGGTTAAAATGAATTTTATTTACTTTCATGAGTGGAGTTCATTTTTTTGGTCTAGCAATTTAGTAATTAATTATGAAATGATTAAAACATTGTTCCAAAAGTGGGTTGTTATTTATTTGAACATCTCAAATGTCAGAAAAATCATAATCTAATAATACTTCTGTGAATTCTAGCAGACAGCGTGTCTCATGAAAGCATAAGTATGCTTCCTAGGTAGTGCTGTGCCCTGCAATGCAAGCAGAAGTTAACTGGTCTTTAGCAGACAGACACGTTTGTTGGAACAGGTTCTTGGAGATTGTTTTCCTGTTCTTGAATTTTGTGGGTTAAAATGAATGAAGACAGTTTTAGAATTATTTCAGTTTTAAATGTGCTTTGCCTTTGCTGGAAACAGTCTCCTCAGGGAGCTGTGTATGATGAACTCGGAGGTCCTCAGGCACGGAGTGCCCCTGGCTGGTATACGGGGCACTTCCAAGAGCCACACCCAGGGAAGGCGCCCTGGGACTAGAAGATGCCTGCCGCAGGGTCCAAACGTGGGATCCTTGGTCATTACAAATCCTCACACTGTCCACTCAAAGTCCACGCTTGGATCTTTAGCAGTTTATGTCTAAATGTCATTCAGCCACTAGGTGGTACTAGGTAACCTTTACTGAGAAAACTGTAACAATGTTAAGATAGTTAATTTTGACACTTAGAAAATGTATATTTCATACTTTTCAGGGATTCCAGAGTCATTGAAAAATAATTAAACAATCTAAACTACTTTGTACATTTAGAAAAATACTGTATATGTTCCAGTAACCAAACCCTAATGTGCAGAATTTTAAAGATATCTGTTTCATACAAATAATTGTAAAGTGGGATTTATTATTTTCTTTCTAGTGTTCTTTTATCTTTTGTATTAGTATGCCACCTTGTGGAACTACAATATAAATGGCATATTTCAGATATCTTTTCTAAACATCAATCTTTGTTTTACATTATTAATCTTGTATCTTCTGTTAATTTGAACTAAAATAATTTTAAACAAAATCTTAGCTTCTGGTCCATTGACAATGATTCTGCAGGTAGAATACATTTGAGAAACTAGTTTTCCCCTATAGATTGTCTCAATCACTTATTATCCATTTGTTAACAGTATTAAAAGATACGCATACTTCACATTTTGTGGTGAATTGGACATAATAAATATTGAGGAAATATTTGTTACACATAGAGATAAGTACATGGAGAGACAATTAGTTATTTTAATACATTTTGACTGTTTAAATCAAAATCATGTTTCATTTCTGGTATAATTTCAAAAATATTTAAGTTAGACTTTGCATCATATTCTATTAAGAATATACTCTGAGTACATATGTGTTAAAATTCTTTTTATATGTGTCTGTTCTATTAGCTAAAAGCCATAACATTTCAGAACAGGAAAATCATATACACTAAAGTTCATTTCTTGTGTGTTTTATTTAATCTGCTTCCTTGAGAAGCACCTGAAGTAAAATGAAAACAAACTGAAGGTTTCTAGGTCTATGCTTGTACCTAAACATTGCCGCAGAAATAGCAAGCTCATGGCCACGGGTTTTTCAGATGTCGGGACGGTGCTCAAGGTGGTCAGCATCTCCAAGGAGAAGTGGGGCGTGGAGGAGGTTGTGCTGGAGGAGCTGCAGGTGTTCAAGGTGAGACTTGGGCAGAGGGGAGTGCAAGGCCGAGTCCTTGTGTAGGGCATGCTTTTTACACACAGCATCACTTTTCTTCTAGAAAGCAAGCGTTCTTATTTTCCTTTTCCCTAAGCACTGGAAGAGTTGTATAAGCAAGTAAGAACGGAGGGGTCGCTGCTCCTGGGGTCTTCTCTCCCTACCAGGTTCTCCACCCGGTAGCAGACAGGTTGCCGCAGTCAGTACCCAGATACCTTCCTGCTTTATAAATCCTACTTTGCAATTTTTCCCCAGTTGAATATGAAAAAATGGAAAAGCATATATATCACGTATCCTTGCTTTCCTATAAGAAAATTAAATGAACAGTAGACTGCAGGATCGCATGACTTTGGTGATGGTAATTCTTCACGTGTGCTAAATCCCTGCCCTTCCGAAAGAGTTGGGCACTCCGGAAAAGGCAGTCAAGTTTTGGTAATGTCTTTGACTTGTAACAGTAAATTTAAATCGTGGCATTCCTTATAAAGCCTTGACGAAACAATTTAAAATTACTTCCTGAAACGAACATTAGAAATAAAATTCTATGTCTTAGAAAAGCTTTCTAAAAATATGCTGCACAGTGTTACAACACTTAGCTGACACAGATTATTAACAGCCGTTCCCATGTAAACATCTATTGCCTAGAGGGAGGTGGAGTCTTCCACACAAGAGGGGCTCCAGGCAGTTAGCGCGAAGGGCGCATGGGTCCTGTTGACACCGTGATGATAGCAGTGGGGAGGTTACCTAGTACAAGGCCTGCTAGCTGGCCTGACCCAAATAAAACCTTGGGTGGGTCCTAGGGGAAAGGCCAAGGTCAAATACAAGGATGAACAAGAGGTTTAAACAAAGCCCACCCCATATGCGTAAACCCACCCAACAAGCCCCGCTCCACGGTTATCAGACAGCGGTCAAGAGGGATTGTTTGTCTTTTCTGTTAGAACTGAACAGTGGCCATGTTTTGTTCGATTTATTTTTTAAACTACGTTTTTTTTAAAAAAAAACCTATACCGAGACATATTTCATTAAAAATTGACATAATCAATTTACACAGTTTGATGAGTTTGGCCATTGTTAAAAGTTTATAATAAAAAGTTACTGGGTAGAATTTTCTCATAGTTTCTCCTTTATGAATTTTCTTTAACATCAGCTATTGGTGGTTGACTAGTAAATACAGGCTGATGGTAGGGGAATAAGTAAATAAATGAGAGATACATGGAATAATCTTTATAAGGCAACCCACGTCACCACTGTGTTCTCTCGCGTGTGGTCAGCCTGACCTCATGCTGTAGGCTGTGCTTCTTTTCCTACTTCTACTTGGCCCACGCTTGCTCTGCAGAGCCTCTTTCTCTTCCTGTCTCTAGTAAAACTTGGCTACTGTTAAGCATTCCTGCTCTTTTCTGTTTCACAGCCTTTGTGATGACATTTCTGACTTTACCTTGTGTGTAGAACCATATTATCCCATAGGAAGATGGCCTTAGCTCTGGAAGTTGTGTGCACTGCTGTCCTGAAGGGCACCGTAAAGGACCAGCATATCCACAAGGAGCAGTGCCACTGTTCAGAACTCTGCTGCTGGAGCGGATTTCTGAATCACTGGTCCACAGAGGAGCAGGAAGAGGCAGTAAATAATTACGGAGATGTTCTTGTCAACACTAGTTTGAATGATAAGGAAGCAGTTTACAAAAGCAGATTTTAAAGAAAGAGAAAACTTGTAACTGGGAACAACCTTCAATGTGAAGTGTTTCTTCAAACATTTATGTACTTTTCTTTAACCAGATATTAATAACAACGGTTTTCATCATTTCTATTATGGTGGAATCACTGCACACTGCAAGAAATTTACAGATATTAAGATCGTTTTTCCTTTGTCTGTGAGACATGAACATCTACTTCTGCATTCTTTGGTATAAGATTTAAAAAGTAGTTAATGTAAAGAGAGTTAACAATTATCTTTACTGACATTCAACTTCTGTTTTCAGCACTCATCGACCATCCTGACCATGGAACTGTCTCTAAAGCAGGTACCTTCTGATTTTATGCAAAAATTTGCCACAAGACTAAAAAGCTGCTTGGGAAAAGTTCATTTGCAGAATCCATTGAAATCAGAAATGAAATTATAAATAGTGTAGAAAGCTATAAATTATTTGTCTCTCTTATTATTGTTAGAAACCGTTATTTCAGCCTTGCCTCAGTAAAATGGAAAGTTCATCACTCAAACAATATATTATTTTCTTCCTTGTTCTTAAAAGCTGAGCTTAGTTTTCTGGCCTCGTAAGGACGTCTTTCAGTCAAAGTCACAGGAAATACATGTAACACATTACTCCTAACCCTTTAACAAGTTTTTAATTGGGGAGCCCAGGGGCGAGAATATGGAGTGTGCTCAGCCTTCCCCACACCACTCAGTGTCCCACTCTAAGAATCGATCTCCTCAGTCGCAGTTAGAGAACCCTCCCGCTTGTAATGGGAATTTAAACAGGACGTGGCATGGCGGCATTTGAACCGGAGCAGTACATTATAAATATGAAGCAAATGGAAGCTCACAATAATACTGATATGTAATACTGCATAATGTGATTTCTCAGTTCCCGGGCATGATTCTCTAAATCCCAGCTGATTTAAGAGATTGAGGCTTGCATCACCATTTCTACCTACATCTTCAAGATTTAAGAAAATCGTGATAATGTATGTTCAACACCATGACATTGCTAACATATTCTTAATCTCCTCTGCCTACCATGGCAGAACTATCATTAGGGAATGATCTAAATAGGATTTTTCTTCGTATCTTTCCCATTATTTGTTCATTTATCCAACATGCGTTTCTTGAAAGCCTACTGCTGTGCTTTCGGGGTTCAGAAAATATGTGACTGACACAGCCTTCACGTCCAGAGGCTGGAGCAGAGTGAGAGCCTGAGAAGCACGCTCAGGATGCAGGACAGAGGTGGAGAGAACAAGAGGCAGGAGGAGAAGGCAGAGCAGCCAGCAGGGGGCAGCACAGCTGGAGCCGCGGAGGACATAGTCAGCCAGATGAATGGAAGGGCGTGGATGGGGCGAGGGCAGGGCAGTGGGGGACACTGGCAAAGCTGGGGAGGGGAAGAGACCGCTGTGTGCTCTGTTCTCAAACCATTAGCGCCAGGGCCCGTGAGCGCTCGGGAGAAAGGAGTCAGAAATGAAGCTGCATAAGTAGTCCAGCGTGAGATTAAGCCCATCCTCGTGTCCTCCCAAGATGTCCGATAATTTGACTCAAGAACAATAAAAAGGCTGAGGATGGTAAGCTGGAGGCTGTCCCTGTCAGATTGTCCTTTCAGAAGGGTCAGTGCGGTGTGGTGTGGGGGCAGAGATGGGGTCCTGCGGCAAAGGGGGCTCCAAGGAAGGAGCTGTACTGAGTGGAGGTCGTCAGGACACTTGCAAGACGTCCAGGAAAGAAGGGATAAGGGCGGAAACGGAGGCTCAGTGGTGGGGAGGGAGGAGAGGAAACAGCTTAGCGATTTCTGCGTGGGAGAGTGGAAACAAGGTGGTGACAGGCCGAACGTGAGAAAAGGAGTCTCGGGCGCTCCCAGGGCCAGCCAGGCGACGGTGGAGGAGACACGGAAACCACTGTGCTCATGACCTCGTTGTTTCCAGGCTAGCTCTGAGTCCTTGTACCACTGAAAGAATAAGAACAGAACAGAAGAAAATCCCACATTTCACTCCAACGAAGAAAGCGCAAAGGAGATAGATGTCTGAGGTGGAAATCATGAGACTAGGAAAGGGTGGAGAGTTATAAGAAAAGCATCGTCACCCATCTCAAATGCCATAGCGAATTTGGATAACACAGACAGCGAACAGTGTTCATTGTGTTTCTAAGCTGGGAAGTCTTTGCTGAGAGTGAATGGGCTGTGAAATAAGAGGTAGACTTCTTTAGCTTGAGTGTGGTGTGTTGCTTCTGCTGGTCATCGTTTCAGAGAAGCTTTTCCTTCACCAAAAGCTCAGCGTGGCCTGGCAGATTTGGCAAGGGGCTCTCTGAAGACACAGACTGTGGTTCTGCTACCCAGGACTGTGGCAGACACCCAAGGCGGTCATGCGGGGAGCAGTGCCTACGCCTCGGGACGAATTTTCAAAATGCAACTCCATTTGCAGTGTTTTCAGTACCCTATGACACAGGATCTCCCCAGCCAAATTACGGCCCAAATTCTTTCAGGGATCAGGACTTCATTAGCAAATGTAGTGGTTAATTAAGACAAGAAGGAAGTTTCCAACTCTGCAGTCACCTCTCACACAGGGAGCCCGGGGGAGCCGTGCCAGGGAGGACCACTCTTTGTGCCAGCTGCATCTGTGGCTGATGTAATCCGCCAGAGTCCACTTCCTACCACTGAGAAAGCACTTGACGTCTTCATTCCTCAGTGTGGCAGCCTCTTGGACCTTGGCTCACTGGCAAGCCGCCTCGAGCTTCGCAGAACATTGCCCGTTTCACCATCAACATCTTCACACGGAACAACCCAACCAGGAAAGGGGGACTTATTTTCCCCTCAGTACGTCCCTGTGCAAGTGTTTGTAACAGGCAGGACACCGGGCAAACAGATTTAGCGCTGTCATGTGGCCTTCAAGAGAAGGAAGTTGCTGAGGCTAGTATGAGAGACGCTGTTAATGCATTTGCTTTGCCTGATTTCCAGCAACAGTTGTACATCGGTTCCCGAGATGGGTTGGTTCAGCTCTCCCTGCACAGATGCGACACTTACGGGAAAGCATGTGCAGACTGCTGCCTGGCCAGAGACCCGTACTGTGCCTGGGATGGAAATGCATGCTCTCGGTATGCACCCACCTCCAAGAGGTAAGAACCCCGGCCAGCCAGGGCGGGAAGCCAGCCCTCTGTGAGACCTGTGTGTCCCTGGGTCCCCTCCAGACTTTAACAGAAATCCACAGAAAGCTGGCTCTGTGGAAGGCAGAGTGACATTAAAGTGCTAGTTCACAGTTTCACCTAAAGCTAAGTATTAAAGGCAGGTAGACGAGGTGTTCTGAAACTCAGAAGTGTGGAGCTTTGAAAAACTCTGATAAATTGTTTGTATTGTTTCCTCTCATTTATGTCACGTACCATTAAAATTTGTTTTCTGTCATCACTTTTTCACATTCCTTCCCTCTTATTTCTAAATATGCATGTATTTATGCTTACTGTTTTGTAAATAATTTGTAAAGATATGTATTGATGAAACTGCAGAGTATATACCACAAACTGTATATCCCAATGCCTTGGAAGAATTTTATCTTTACTCTAATAACTCTTAATTCGTTCAATTTCTTTCACTCAGGCACATTCAATAAACTGTTTCCCTGCTGTTCCTAGATCTTTGTTTTATGAGCTCTTGGAAATAATGCTATTTTGATCCAAGAATTCTCAACTAGGGATTTATTCTCTACACACATGTGCAAAATACCGCAAAGTTATAAGATACTCACCTCAACACCATTTTAACACCAAAATAATGGAGAAACAACCAAAATGGCTATCAACATGCCCAACACTAGCTAAACAGGCAATAATTATTTGTAGATGTGAGTTATAGTAACATTATTTTGAAAGTATTATATAAAGTATATTTTCTTCAAGGTAGAATGTTAGAAAATTGTGATTGTTTTCCCTTTATGTCTTTTTTAAAAATGAACGGGTAAGCATACACTAGTTGTAGTACATATGTACTTTTTTCCTTTTGACACTTTACTGATTTGCAAAATTCTAAATTCTAGGAATTGCAGAGTGAATGCATGGCATACATCAAAGACAGCTTAAACTTAGGACGCATTTCACATTTTCCATTCTCTCACGTCTCTGAATGAAATGTAATGAATATATTCAGTTATTTAGAGTTAAATATAAAGATTCACTAGAAATTTTGTGTAGTGCTTTGCAGAGCACACAGCGCATCACAGTGAGTCCTTGGGGAACGCTTGCCTGGGAGCTCAACACCAGAATGCTCGTTAGTTGGCAATAACCCTTCAGTTTGATTAATCGACCCTGTTCCTTAAGAAGCTGAGATTTGAAAACATTCTTGACCTTGTGTACCTCGTCCTGTCGTAACTTTTCCTCTGCATGGTTCCCAAGGCCGTGTCTCTGCTTTTGCAGATGCACTCCTGTGACGTTTTCCCCGAGCTGACACCGGGTCCGCGTGTGAGCCTGAGATGCACGCGGTGAAGGGGCTCTCTGACAGGGTTGTCATCGGGCCGGCGCCCGTGCCTAAGAGCCCCAGACAAGAGAAAGCGTCCGCTGCTTCTCTGATCTCTGAGGCAGCTGGGGAGGTCGGGGGAGGAACGGAGGTGGGATGAGCGTGGGTGCCTGAGACGCTGTGCTCCCAGGAGGAGCAGGAAGGCTGTGCTCAAGCTCAGAGGCCGCTGTAGGTAATGTAGGTTCTGTGCATCTCTGCATGCGGCTGGAGAGGAGTGCAGTACTTTCGCCATAAAGAGATGATGAGTGTTTGGGGAGAGATGAGTCTCACTTGATTTAAATGTTACACAGTGTGCATGTATAGAAAAATCATGCAGTCTTCCACTAATATGTATTTTTATTTGTGTGCATCCGTTAAAACTAAATGTAATTTAAGGCAAAAATATACCCAAAGCAAATGAAAATATACTTTAAGAGTGTAAGCCACACAGTGTAGATATAGCAGAGGTTTTTCTTTTTGTATATGATATTTGCTCTTTTCTCTGAAGGAAAACGTGACATAACGCAGAAGCCACTGTGGTGTTGTTATTGATATTTTTATTATTATTACAGAAAAGTGTGAGGTACTTGTCAACACATACAAGCATCATGTAGCCATTTGTGCCACATCAAACTCGGACTTCTTCAAACAATGTGAAACTCATTGCTCAACCAAATCTGTGCAACTGTGAATCTGTACATGATACGGTGTTTCATTCTGTGTGTCCTTTCGGACCCCTTAGTTAGACTCTTTCCCATATTATTGCTTTTCCAGTGACTGACGGAAAGAAAGGAGTGTTACTCTCACGCCATCTGTATCTTCTTTTTTCTAATTATATTCCACCTGTACTGTTGAATAATTGGTCAAGTCAGAGAAAAAGAATGGTAGTTAAATAAAATTCAGATACTCTTAATGTTAAATGAATTTTTATTAAGTCTTACTCTCAGAAGTATTTAAATTAACCTAGATTGATTGGAATAGTGACCTCCACTTCAGAAGAACAAAAATAAAGATATAATTCTGCATCTCTCACTGTTAACGTTAGCCATGGCCTTCTTATTTTTCTTTTGATGAGGTTCTGGGATTGAGCCCAAGCCTCATGCGTGCTGGGTAAGCACCCTGTCCCTGAGCTGCACCCCATCCCTGATGTGGCTTTTCTGTATCCGTTGCTCTACTTCAAGTTCTCATCAAGTGACTGCTTTCCGTAGGCGAGCTAGGCGCCAAGACGTGAAGTACGGCGACCCGGTCACCCAGTGCTGGGACGTCGAAGACAGTGAGTATACACGGCTTCTTACGTTTTCTTCTCATCTCAGATGATAATTTCAGCCTTTATTGTACATCTCCAAACGTCTATTGTGTGAGACTGTCTTATTTCATGCAGTGCTTATGTTCTGGAAAAGCAGCAGGAAATTGATAAACCAACCCCCTTTCTAGGAACCTAAGTGAATAATCCTTTGTTACATCATGATTTGTTTCACATGTCGTTTAGGTTCCTATGCCGTGGCTTTTGTTTCACTTTTACTACCTTATCCTTGTAAAACCTGAAAACTGCTTTTAGAGATGGAGCAGGATGTAGCCCACACCATTCAGACGTGTAGAGCGAGCTCAGACCTCCCAGGAAGGCTGAGAGAACCGCGGGTACCGATCAGGAAGGGGTCGGGGAGCCTGCGCCGGGCGCGTCCTCACGTAGGATCCCACGTCCACCCACTCAGTCAGGAAATGGGTAGTGTCCTGGGCATTCCGCGAGACAAACGCCCTGCTCAAGGAGCTCCCGTGCCCCAGGGAAACATCATAAACACAGTTGGTGATATGGGGGGTTAGCAGAAACTGAACTCACTAGAGGCGGCGCTGTTCTGCAGAAACAACTCGTGGAAAGCGAAATCTTGCAGGATGAGCGGGAGAGGCATGGGCAGGGCGTCGGAGCACAGAGAACCTGAAGGTGGGCGGAGCTTTAGCCACTTTCTGTTCTCAACTGTACCTCCAGGTAGAAAGTGCACACACACTATAATGCACTCTCACTATACACACACTCACACCGCACTGTGAATACATACACTCTACACACTCACCCGCACTGTACATACACACACCATACACAC